TTCATATAGAGGAGTGATCTCAGGTAGCCAGAGTAGGACTACAAGTCTATCTCTGACTATATAAAGAGAGACCAGTGAGAAAATAATAATATAAATATTCTGTGTTTCTTCACTAAATTCTACATTCCTTATACAGTTTACAGCAAAATACCAATAAAATGGTGAAATGAATATTTCCTGAGTACTCACATGAGTAACTGAGTACTCACTGAGTACTCACTGAGTAACAATACTCAGAAATTGTTAGTAGTATCAATGTGAGTACTCATGGACGAATTATGAGTAAAGTCGTACTCATCGTATGAGTACTCTCACTAGGGTATGCTCTCTCCGATAGACCTTATAGACGTTCTCTGTCAATAATTTCAGTTAAGAACTATGTTGCGTGGTTCCTGTAACTATTTCTCGCTGCACAGTTCGAGTAAAGTGGCTAACGTAGTGCGAATTATATTAGGAAGTTGATATGGAATCATCATCTTATTGCCATATCGGTATCGAACTATTTAGCATATAAATCTAGCTTCTCTTAAGGGACTCAACATAGTTTCATAGATAGTAAGGTTTTTCTCAGTAACATAATCAAGCATCCGTTAGCTTTAAACTTTAATCTCATCTCTCCAGTCTAATGGCCACTGAAATCGAATCACCTCATTGCATCTGTGCCCAAAGATACAATGATTAGATAGCTTGTCTAAGGCTATCACACAACCATCGTTGCCAAGATTCGATCTCCGTATCTTTGAAGTGTGTTGTCTGCCCACTAGCCGACTGAGCCACGCTGCTCGTCAACTCATAATAATTTTATTTGTACACTATTTTATCTACTTGATAATGAAAATAAAGTTTTCGAAACGTCTGAATAATTAAAATTGAAATGAGTTTACATATAGTTGTTGTTAAAATATTATTTCTGCTTCGCTTATTACGCATTAAAAGTAACAATGTACATTTCAGCGGTTTTCATCACCAGTGCACGCTCATTAGCATGATTAGCGCATTCAAGAACAAAGTGTGTTACTGTTTTCTTTGGATTTCCTCGGGCACAAATAGAGTTTGGCTCAAGATTTCTTTTGTACAAGTCCGAATTTAATTGGTTAAAACGGACGCGATATTGTGAGAAATCAATGTCGGTCATTCGATCAACAACGGGAGAAAGTTTTATTTTCAAAGCATAGGACAATTTCATTTTAAATTTGAAAATAGGGTATTTTTTACACTCTTCAACTCATTATCTACTTTGTCCCATAGAATTGACGTTGAAGGCGTAAGAGTTTTAAAATCTATAGACTCGTTCTGCCAAAGGAACACAGTTATATTGAGACTATGTAATGTTGAATGATACGGAGTTCTTCGTATCATTATGTCACCCATGTCAATTTTTCCTTTCCTTATTTTATAAAATAGAGATAACCGATAGATATCGAATAAGTCATACTGAAAATTTGTTACATACTCATCGTTTTTAAAAAAGCAAGAAATTCACACTAATTCTGCACATAGCGTCACCTGGAAAGTTCCTTTCATTGTTCCCGAAGCAGCTGAGGTACATTGATATTGAAACTAATATAAACTTCTTAGTTTCCTGTCCGTTGTTTCACAGTAGACAACGCTCTTATAAATTACTTTGCTAAAAATAAAAGCGTTATGCACCAAATTAAATGCCTGTCGACAACTTTCTGCTCAGAGACGTAAACGATCCCAAAAAGTTTATGTAATTTCAGTTAAGTTATCGATCACTATTGAGTTTTACTGCTTTATTATTCTCTTGATTGTTATTATATCAGATTACCTGTTACGCGTATTTAAGAGCAAGTTTTGCAAATTTTTCTTCATTCTTATCTTTCCCATGGCAACAAACGTTGTCTGTTCTAAAAAGAAAAATTTTCTGAGAGTTTTCCAGGGTAGTTTTAACGGACGAAAGTTGGGAAAAATAGCGTCTTTTCTGAAAAAAATCGTTTTTTAATTTTTTCGCTAGTCTTATAAAGTAATATGTCCTCTTTCGAGTGGTATCCAAGCGACCCCCAAAATTTTCCTTCCTTGCTGAGATACAAGCGTTGTAAAAATGGGTCACTTTTTCCGAAATTCGAATTTTTAGTCGTACAAACTGTCAGTAAAGCTATAAAATACGATACACCGACATGTCCGCGAACAACATGAAACCTGAGAGAAGTTATGTGGTGCATAGTCATTATGTGATACAGTTTCACATCATGAAAATATGTTTCGTGTGAAACTACTTTTCGAATTCATTCCCACACCTCCACCTCTAATTACACACTACCAAAAATACCCAAATGTATACCGTGAAGAATTCGTGGAAGAGTCGGGGTCGTGTTCGCAGTAATGTCGTTCGCAGAAATGTTGTGTCACGACAAAATACACCAGAAGCCACGAGTATGCCAAGTATTTAATTTAAACAATTTTACCTAGTATATTATTAATAAACAATTTATACAAAAAGAACAAAAAACTAGTATATCACACGTTGTAAGTAGTCTAGTTACTTACATGTTGTATAAAATTTTCATTCGACAAAACTATTTTCTTTAGAATCATAGTATCATTAAATACACATCAGGGCAAAAGTCGAATACAATAGCGAGTTATAAGTTTACAGTGAAGCACAGGATCATACTTGGTAGTTTAGCAATACTCAACAACAAAATAAAAAGCTCTTTGAAATAGAGCGTTATAGTACATTCGATTCATCTTCTCCACTCTAAAACACATTTTTCTGATGTACATATTTTTCGCTTTGCACCTCAAGAAACTTACATTAGTCGTAAGAGATATTATACTTGGCCATGTTGTATACACCCCGACACCAGAAAAGGGAATGCCATCATCATCGCACTCAGTACCGAACTAAAGAAGGAAGTTGGTTAAAATAAAAAATGATTCATTAATGTGAGTAATGACTTCAAGAAAGTCCTCTACCTGAAGGGACCTGTAACTTGGCGTAGAGTTCAATTGTACACTATGCTGGAAGGAATGCAAGAACGTAATGATGCAGCGTTTGTCTTGTTAAGTGATTCATATAAACTTACTCTACTAGACGGATCAAGCGATCTGGAGCCCAGTGGTCTTGCTGGTTGCTAAAAAGAAAACGCCTATGTATCTTGTAAACCTTTCTGTCCTTGATAGTCGACGAAGTGTGTAGCTCGAACATACATTTTGACAACAATGAGTTAGATCATCCATCAATGATCTTATCCCTCCATCTCCGATGTATATTGCTAAGAGACTAGAAAAAAATAAACTTTCAAATCTGAAATATATATTTTACATATGCATTTTTACATGTAAACAAGTATCCCCATGACCAGCAACAAAATCATCAAATATATATGACCATTGAATAATCCAAAGATAACTAATTAAATAAGAAATATAAGCCGTGCCTTTTTATTATTGAATTATATTAGTGAACCTGTTTTAGGCGTTTGTAACGGCGTTTGTAACGGCGTTTGTAACGGCGTTTGTAACGTCGTTTTATACAGTGTCGACGAAGAAGTTTTGCTTGTTAATTGAATCACATTCAGCAGGACAACTTTTGACGATGTTGACATCCTTATTGTTTCAGTAAATTTACATTGTTCGTCTTCATACACGTTCAACGAAATTAAACATGTCAAACATATTTTGTAAGCTGTCGCGGCATGCAACCCTTTCACATAAATCACTAATGCTTGTGTTTTAACAATTTCCTAAAAGCATTTAGATCATATTCACTAGTATAAAAATCAAGCCCAAAAACATTTTTACTTGTTTCGTTTGTTCACTTGTATTGAATCGTTCTGTAATATAGCCCGAGCAAGGATGATAACCTACCCTCGATGTATTTTTTACCATGATCACAAGTTCAGTGGATGTTTTTGGATAAATGTCAAAATCGGTTTTATTCTACAAAAATGAAAGAATGGGCTCTTCTCCAATACTAATAGCGTGTTTAAAATAGAACGTATTCAGATTTCAAATGGACAGAAAGAGAGCGTGCTATTTTCACTGTTCAATGGAAAATAATGGGACAAACCGTTTCACAAGTAAATTTTAAAATCTTTTTCAAAGTAGGTTTTACAGAAATTCTCTGAAAAATTAGTTCACTTATCCAAAATTGAAGAGGCAATAATAAAAATTTTGACAAGCGAGATCTTGATTTCCAGTTTATTTACTATTACTCAGAGAACTTCAGAGAACTATTACCCGGTGACTGGGACAGAGTTTCCGATTCTTCTCAGGGATTGGGGGGCTAAACAATTTTCTTCGTAGAATGGCTGACGGAAAAACAAGATTCTAAATTTTTGCAAAAAGTTGCTGTGAAAAAATATCAAAGATTTTGCCGGAAAGTGAAAAAATGTTTTTAGGGAGGGGCTAGTCCCCTTCTGATCGGGAAGCCTGGGCTTGGAAACTTTAAAGTCGCATGGAACATATGCAATCGATCACCTGGAATGTGATACAAAGTTCTTTTTGAAAAAAACTTGATAGGCTGATGAAAACTCGCTTTTAAAGAAATTAATATTAATTAAAGGCTGCTTCCATCCAACATCAGAAAATTTGTAACTTGCTCAAACTACAGCACAACGAGTGCGATCTATCTTAGACGCGATAGTAGTTGCCATTACCGGCTGGTTTTTTCCCGTTAATTGTTTGTTCGTATTAAGATAATCAGCAACCGATTGTCGATGATAATGATAAACAATTTTACTGCCAACTGTTGAATCAACGCTTGATTCTTTACTGAAGAGAGAACAACGTTCATTTATTGGAGCGAACCTTTTTTCAAATGTCAACTTACTATACTCTGACTTCTTCGAACCGAAATAATTTTGGATATTCACCTGGTACAGCATCGACAATCTTAGCATCAAAATGGATACATCGATGTTTTTGTACTGTAACGCCATGTAAAGAATCAATCGAATATGCATGATTTAGGCATGAATGTGGATTTTCTTTAAAAGATGGAAAAGATATTTGTAGATAACTGAGAAACATCTATTTGTTTACCTCCTACGATGATGTTAACCGATTGTTCTTCTATTCGACCCGTATAACAATATTGTCCGATTGAAGTTAATGGTCGATAGGGCTCCAAGTATAGAAGAAATGATGGATTGTTTTGTTTACCAGACTTATTGCCAGTACGTAAGTCAACATCGCGGATATTGTAGGCTGATATATTTAATACTTGTCGATTATATATTCGCCGATAAGTAATAGATCCATTTGTAAAACGAATCACTATCAGATAACTGGGCACTGGAAAAAAATCACAACAAAAAAAAGTCAAAGAAGTGAAACTAACGTTATGTTTTTCAGTTAAGTCAATATTTAAGCCTAATTTATTTCTTTTCACTCTGGCAACAGAAAGAGAAGAAAGAATATATGCAAACAAAGAGTAAAACTAAACAAATATCTAAAACGTTTCGAAAAGGGGGCGATAGATATTCGTAATTACATCTGAGAAAGTTACTATAGCTTTTTCGGTGATCCTATCCACAGATTCAGCTAAAACTCAGACTTTGAGGCTTTTGTAATGGCGGTAGACCTGACAAAAAATGTTAAAGCTACCACAAATACAGTTTCGAGCATACAGCGGTTTCATACGATTTCTGAGGACTGTTTATAGGTTACTTCACGAAGAAGAGCAGGGTAGCCATAACTAATCCCTCCTCTCTCTGGGATACTGAAGTCAGAAAAAGGCTGTCGACTGGAAGTGGTGAACACTATTATTGGTTTTCACATAGAAAGATTGTGTCCTCTAAAAACTAAAAAAAAAATTTCGTAGATGCTCAGAGATGAAACAACCATTTTGGTCCATTATACACAGAAAATGAAAAGTTCATACCTCGCTTAAAGTCGATCTGAACTACTTCAGAACATCAAGATATGCTGTATCTGATCTGTACCACACGGTAGAACATAGTAGAAGTTTTAACAAAAGCACCTCGGTTTCTGGAACAATTTTCTAGATATTTTTGGAAGTAAGAAACTGTTTTTTACTAGTTCAAAATGAAGAAGTATGCTAAAAAGATAAAATACAATATATCGTGCTGTTTTGAAGCGGTCTGGATCGACTTTGACTGAATTATGAGTTTTTTCGTTTTCTGTAAAAATCGACAAACATTTCATAATGGGTTTCTCAAAGAAAATCTTTCTAAATGTATACTTAAACTCTCTGTTTCCTCGTGATAGATCTATAGTGTATCAGCCATCCTTTATCCTGTCGGCATGTGCGGAACTACAAGCCGCATTTGTTATATTACATGCTATATTCACGTAAAGTATAATATATGCTATGTGGGTCTCCGCACATGCCAACAGGATAATGGATGATTGATACACTCCAGAAGAGCAGATCACAACGTACTATGTAGCAAACAAACAGCAACTCGACACTTTCCTTAAACAACAACGGACTTATTCTACGTTTTTCTTAAAGCAGGATTTTTGAATGATCGATCGGCGTACATTCCCAGCTACTATTTATTTTAAGTATTTTGATAAGGTTGAGGAATGGTAAATTCTATCGAAGTTTCGTGAAAACTATACGGAGTTGGTGATCCTTGCTGAGATCAAGCATTTTTTCTTATTTCTCATTTACTGCTTGAGATTGGCACATGACGCATGCCAATTACAAATTCCATCTACCGTATACTCCATTCGACTAGTGATAAATTGTAAAAACTCGATTTGCAGTATTGTTTGAAAAGGACAACAGAATCTTACTACACAACGTTGAATAACGTTCTACACTGACAACACACTCCATATTTCTTCGAAAACTGTCATTATTTTTTATCCAGTTTCAACGACTGATAAGTCCTAGGATAGAGTTGGCTTGCTACAACGCAAAATTTTATATGTTTTACTAAAAGATCATTTTTCTGAACTTACATGAAATAATATTCCGACTTTTCGTTAGTTGTAATACGTTTTGGATTACTAAGCGTGGAGTTACGGACGCATTTGGTGATTGAATGTTAGTAGAATAAATATTTGACGATGACATCGTTGATTTAATGATACCGTGTTTTTCAATGTCTTGTATATGTTTCATAGTCATGAAAATGGTTACATGTAAAATAATAAAAAAGCTCGCAGTTACTCCGTATCCAATAGATTTTCGCCATCGCAATCGATTTTTTCGGTTTGATCTCGAACAGCAAGTACTATTTCGATTATAACGACGTAACGGTAGATGCATTTTGTTTTTAGAAAACAAATGAAGAAGTAAAAGTTGTTTTGTTCATATGAATTTTAAGTAAGGGAAGCCGTCAAAATTCGCATCGGTGAATTTATTCACCGGATGTATTTGATTGGAAACAAAAATGAGAACAGTATTATTCAATATGCCTGAGAAAAAGAATATGGTATAACAGAATGACGATGTATGTATATATTCTTTTCTGTACTATACTTGACTTGATGTTTTTTTTCTTTCTATGCA